TGTACTTAATGTAATGTCTTTAAACCTCTAAAACAGTATTTGGATTTTGCGCTTTTTTAGCTGGGTGCCTATCTTAACATTTCTCCCTGGTTTTGCTTTAGAAGCATCTAGGAACTATTTGGCTTCTCTTGGCTTCTGCCGGCTGGATTTGCAGGGATGATTTCTTGACAATCAGTGAAGCAAGTGTGAGCTTCTGGCTTCCTGTCCTGCCCCAGGTGATGCAAGACACTAGCATACATAGACAGTGCTTCCTTATTTTGTTCTAGGTTGGTGGTGGTAGTTTTTAAACTGCCCACACTGTGCTAAGTTCCTTCCCAAAAAAGGGGAGAGGTTACTGCTTAGAACTTTACAGCTGAAACGACAAAGCCAGGCCCCTTAACTGTGCAAAGTTTCTTGTTGTAAGAACAGTTGCTGTTCTGGTTGCAGTAATGCCGTACAACTGGAGGAGGAAAGTGAGAAAACGATAAAGCAGTTCAAGGGCTGACAGTGTATTAGAGTGCGGTATGAGTAGGTGAAAGCACTACAAGAAATATGTCCTGTTGCTGCTTCTGAGAACACCTTAATTTGGAAACTTCCTATAGGAAAATGAATATGCATCTCTTGCAGCTGAAGCACAATTTCTCTGGGTGCATGGATATCCTGAGCTGTGGATGTGCTTTCCTAATGGGCTCTTCCAATGCCAATTTAACACTGCGGATGACACCTGCAAGCATTAATCTTAGGTACTTAACTGTTGATTTTGTGGTTGGCTTATTTTTCAGTAGTCAAAGGAGGATAGGGGGTGGAATTGGATGTTTCTGCTGGAAAGAAATGCTGAGGAGGAAAAGAGGATATGCACTCACAGGGGAAGGACAAAGGAGGATGAGAGGAAGGGGAATTACTGGTCCTGTAGTGCAGGTATTGATGTTCAGGGATGTGGTTAGGGCAGAGGGGCTGCTGTGTGCTTTGTTTTTTTCGCTAGCTGCCTCTGTCAGTGAACTGCATTGAGAGGCCTGAGAGAGAAGTGAGAACTGCTTCCTTCCTGTTCACCTGCATTTCAGCTGCTGGCTGACTCCACACCTGATGCAAATAAAGAACAACACAAAAGTTCAGTCCCTGTAGGACCTGTCATCTCTTTGTGCAGGACTGCTGCCTACCAAGGAGCATCAGTTTGAGTAGAAGGTAATGCATACTTCAAACACAACTCACAAATAGGAATGAGTAGATTTCATCTTTCTCTGCAGAATGAGTTTAACTAACACACCACACAGTATCAGGTTGTGATTTGACATTAATATTTTGATAGCTTAGTAGGTCAAGAATAATAGTTATGCTGCTAAATTTTCTTCTTTTTTTACACTTCTTAATGAACAGCTCTGCAGTCTGTGGGAGTTCACCTAACAAAACTTGTATGTATAACTTCTCTCTGAGAACCTCTAGTTTCTGTCCTTCTAGAAATGTCTGACAAACCATTTCAGAACAATTTCCTTGATGATGGTGCACTCCATGTAAGTTTCTGCCGCATGAGTCGTGTACATTCGACTTCATCTGGATCTACGGATGCATTCCCAGTATCCGGCCTATGACAGATCATCTCTAGAATGGCTGATTCCCCCAGGGACTGGATGCCTTTCTCTACTGTTGTCCAGTTGGTTGAACGACTCATAACGTTGTCCTTGTAGGGAAATATTTCCTTCACAGCTGCAAAGAGCCACCTCCAAAGGCTGAGGTCCCATTTCTCTTTTGCAATCCCTTTGTCAATTCCCCCTTCCCTAGCAAGTGATCCCAGCTTGGCTTCACTACCTTCTAGTTCATGACTGTCAGCCCCATTTTCCCAGCATTGGAGCAAGCAGGTGGCGATGTGCTCACCTGGAAGATGGCTGAAATCTGTTTGCATATTCTGTAGGTCGGTTGAGTTCCAGGGTCGAGAAGTCACCTCTTCTTCATCCTCTTCTTCTGACTCACATAATAGTATCTCTTGTTCAGATGCAGTCCCCTGTAGTAAGTGCATTGGTTCTTCATCTTTCTTAACTGTACGGGTTGCTCTTTGTACCTTGTTTGCTTTTCCCCTTGCTGACAGGGGCAACTGATACTAGCACAAATTGGTCCTTTGGTTTAGCTGCAGTGACTGTCACTGTGGTTGGAGTGACTGCAGTGTTTGCCGCTAGGGTTGGAGTGGCTGCAGTATCTGTTGTCAGGGTTGGTGCAGCCGCTGTGCTTGGGGGTTGAGTAGCACCAGCAGTTGCATTGTCTTTTGCTGTTGGGGTTTGAGTAGCTGCTGTACTTGTCACTGTTCTTAGTGTAGTTGCTGTGCCTGCAGCTGGAGTAGCTGCATTGTCTGTTGCAGTCAGCTGTACTTATCACTAGGGTTGGTGTAGCTACTGTGCTTGGAGTTGGAGTAGCTGCGTTGTCTCTTGCTTTGCCGTCAGATCCAGAGATACCTTTTTCCCTTTGAAGGTGCTGGGTAGTGTTGAGCAGGGCTCTGTAGGTGTAGGCCAAGCCCCAGCACATTGCCATGAATTGTCGCTCTCTGGTATGACCAGGATGACAACGCACCTTATTTAAGGGTTTTATTAGTTTTTCTGGATTTTGCACCTGTTCAGTGGTGAAGTTCCCAAGGACTGGAGGGGTCCACTAGCCTAGATACTTGCCCACACACCCTGCCACTTGTAACTGTCCAGCCTTGGGGAAAATCTCTTTGTTCTCCTATATCGTTGTCTGACCCTAGACCAGACTCAAACCCTAACCTGCTTAACTTTCGAGATCAAACAACCTGACCATGGGTAAAACACACTCTGTATGTGTGCCAGCATGGTGATCCCCATCACAATCAGCAGACGGATCTCAAGGGTATTCAAAGGCCATCCAAAACCTTCAGAACTCTCAAATGATGCTGTAAATAGTCTGGTGGGGGAGCTGGAGGTGTAAGGGAATGTCTCCTTCATTGGTTGACCACCCAAGGAGGAAGAAAATGATATGTAATTGCTAAACAATTCCATTATATACCTCCCAAAGTACAGAGGTGATGACCACACTAGGAACGCAAGCCAGACCAGTTTCATGATCAATGAATCTATTATATTACCACAGTCATTACCATAAAGTACAGCAAAACAAGAACCTTAGCCCAGGCCCCCCAGCCGATAAACACTAACACAGCAAATACCGGCTGTAAGTAAGGCACAACATGCTGAAAGTGTGAGATCAAGTGCAACAACTTTGAGAGCCAATAAATCAGCATTGTAACGTGACTATTAATCCGAAACAATAAATACGTATCACAAATACGATTAGACACACTCTGGTCACATCTGTCATTATCTCAACCCTTTGTGCCCCACGTTGGGTGCCACAAAGAGCTGTCATGGTTTAAGCCCAGCTGGTAACTCAGAACCACGCAGCCGCTTTTTCTTCCCCCTGCTCTCGGAGGGATGGGGAGGAGAATCGAAAGAATGTAACACCCACGGGCTGAGATCAGTCCAGTAACTACGGTATAACACGAAGTCACTACTGCTACCACTAATAATAATAATGGTAAGGGAAATAACAAGGGGAGTGAATACAGTTGCTCATCACCCACTGTCCAATACCCAGCCTGACCCAAGCAGCGATCTGGGCCTTCCAGGTGACTCCCCTCAGTTTCTATGCTGGGCATGATGTGCTGTGAATTACCCCTTTGGCCAGTTTGGGTCAGGTGTCCTGTCTCTGCTTCCTTCCGGCTTTCCTTCCTCCCCGACAGAGCATGAGACTCTGAAAGTCTATGGTCAGAGTAAATATTACTGAGCAACAACTAAAAACATGGGTGTTATCAGCGCTGTTCCCAGGCTGAAAGTCAAAAACATAGCACTGCACCAGCTACTAAGGAGAAAAATGACTGCTACTGCTGAACCCAGGACAGGTCTGTATTTTTTTAATTGCATTGAAGTGGGTTTTTTTGTTTGTTTTGGGGTTTGTTTTGTTTTGGCTTGTTGTTGTTGTCTTCTCCATCTTCAGTTCACTTCCAGAGGCTTTGGTTATAGAAGGAATGAACTTGGGGGTTAGGAGGTGGATTTTAATTATACCTCAGGGCTGGGATTCTACGTCACTTTCCTTAGTGCCAAGTCATCTCCAGATCCTTCATTTCCTCTCTTCACTCGCATCCCTTCACAGGTCTTTGTGCCCTCTCTTATATGTGTTTCACTGTTAATGGAGCTGCCCTCCAAACATCATCTGTGAAATGATCCAACACGAGAGCTTCCCAAATGGAAGTGCAGTTTGTCAGGTGATGTAAACCTTCGTTCTGGTTTAGACTGTAACCACGTAATGTTATATGTTTTACCTGACATAACTCTGGGTGAAATGCTGTCTGTTTGAAGAGTTGTAAGCCTTTAACTGAGTTTTTTGCCAAGGGGGCAATGACGGAGAGCTCCAACTTTTTCTGGGGATGAGGTATGTAGCTAGATGCCTTTTTTCAGATGTTTGCACTGGGGTTGCTGTATCTTATTACTAATCTCTCTATATTTCCAGAAGACAAACTCCAGTTATATAAATTTATGAAATATCTGTTTACCAAAACAAAAACTTCTGGTAAAAGTTTTACAAAAAAACTGGTAGGTATCTTATCTGGGAGGTAGGAGACCTGTGACAAGCCCCCTAGGGCTTACTGCCTGTTTTGAAGTGGGTCTCTTTCTCACTGTGGTACAGAGAAACAGAAAACCAATATTGTTTTGTCACAGTATTGAACAGTGAAAAGAGTTTCAGATTCAAGGGCTTTGTTAAATGGGAAACCTCCCATGACAAATCTCTCCTCTGTCTTTCATTACTATGAAAACCAAATGGAAATAAACCCCTCTGTAATTAAATTTTCTTGTTTTAAGAAGAAATTTATGCATTTTTCAGCCATACTTGCAGCATTTGTGGATTCCAACTTGTAAAGAATATCAATTCAAAAGAGGGACAGTATTTGACCATCCCATTTTTCTGGCTTGTTCAGTGATAACTTTTATTTCCTGGTTTTGTTTTTTGTTTGTTTATTTTCCCAGTTATTTGTAGTAGATGTCCAGACTGGTCAAATTACCAAGATTCCTATTCTGAAAGATCGTGAACCCGGCATGGTGAGCCAACAGGGATGTGGTATTCATGCCATTGAGCTCAACCCCTCCAGGACCCTTTTGGCCACCGGTGGAGACAACCCCAACAGCCTTGCGGTTTATCGTCTGCCTACACTCGATCCTGTCTGTGTGGGAGATGTAAGTTTATTCTGTCACCTACAGGAAGTTCTACTTTGAAGTGATGAATTTCAGAACAAAGCTCAGATCTGGGAGTCTTGCAGGGAATTTCGAAACACTTGAAAACATTCCTGATTAAGTTGTCTCAAATATGAGTACGTACACAAACATTTGAGAAGATTCTCAGAGTTCTAAGTCAGATTTCTTCTTCACACTGATTCAGGTCAACTTCAGTTTACTTTTAAGCACTGAAAATGTTACAGAATCCTAAGTGTTGAAGTCTAATTGTGGTGATGACCTCTGAAACTAGCTTTAGTGGAAAAGCTCTTTCGGGAAATTGAAGAGATGATACAAGTTCTTCTAATTTTCCTCTTCTCCAGTGCAGCTTATTGTTCTGCTAACAGGCAGGGTATGCAACAAAATGACCACACAGTAGCTGTATAACATGCACAGTTTATTAAACAAGCACACTAATGTGGATCAGATACGTATCTCTCATATATAGTAAGTAAGTACAATAAAGCAAATCAGATATATGTAAGTAAAGTACAGAGGAAAATTAGCAATGCATCAACTCATTACTGGATAGACAGAATAGTGATTAAGAGGAAATACATCACCAAATACTACTGAATCATCATCCAGGCCCACACTTCCAGCTGGGAAGCTCCATTGTAGCTGATGCCAGGAGCCTTAGGTAACTGGGGAAGTTCCTACAAACATAGGAGAGGCTTCGGGTTCAGCTACTAGAGGGTCCTGCTTTTTTTACCCTTTGAAAAACAACTGGTGTTATGCCAGATCTCTGTTTATTCGTGGGGCCATGCAACTTCTCATCATCTCCCTGTTGTCCATGCTAAGAGCTTTGGCCAGGTGCTCTGGTGCAGTAGAGTGAGAAGGTCATAGAACAGCTGCACACCTGTGTTTTCCTGTCTCTTTCCAACAAACAAGTATACTCCGCCTAATATACTTTGACAACAACATACTTTATGTCTCTCAGTCATGAGAGGGAATCAACTGTCAGCCAGGTTCATGTCCATTTCACTTATATATGTATTATTCCAGAGGTGGAACTTGGCTTTGAGGATTAGTTCTAACCCAGTGGCTTATGGCAGTTTGATAGATTCTGGTACTGCTAATATTTCTGAAACATTGTGAGTGCTTTTTAAATAGACAGTCTTTTAAAAGGCTGAAATGAATATGGTGGTGTTGCTGAGAGCTTCTCTCTCATTCCTCCTCTTCAGTCTGCACTTCATATAGATGTTAACAGCGGAGGTCAGGTCAGAGTTTCTGCAATAGCAGATAATCAGCTGCAGAAAGACTCAAGCCTGAAGATTTATGTGTCTTACTATTTATTTGTGTATTGCTATGATTTTACAGCTTTTTAAATGGAACTAAAGCCTTATGGTCTTCCCCCCTCCACCCCTCCAGGTTTCTCTAAGTAAAAGATAATTGAAATAATACTCTTGAAAAATTAATCTGTAGGTCATATATTGTGAGCTAAGGTTTTGTTACTTTTTATAGTAGGGACATAGCTACTTTCTAGAAGTAAAGAATGCTGCTTTCAAAATGGAAGATACAAGTCCTTAAAACTGAGATCAGCTTGTCATTGGTCTGAGACCTGTTTTTCTGTAACCTAATGCTCGCTATCAATAATACACTTCAAAATCAAACCAAATTAACATTACTGTTGGGTATTTCAAGCTGCTCCAGCTTGATGCTGGGATCTTATCTGGATGGTTTTTAATATAGAACTGTCCTTCTGAGTTTGTGCTAAAATTCAGAGTGAGGAATAGCTCTCTGCTTTGAAACTACTCTAGAGTATAACGAGACAGAAAAATCTGTCTTTTTTTTTTTTTTTAGGATGGGCATAAGGACTGGATATTTTCAATTGCATGGATCAGTGATACTATGGCCGTTTCTGGTAAAGTCAGTTTTTTCCTTCTTTTTCTCCCTCCATGATTTTACACGGATGCACAGCACTTGATAGGTCTTAGGGACACACCTTTGTTAGAGCATTTGAAACCACTTGGAACTACCATGGCTATTTAAACCTTACTTGGTCTTAGTATGGTGCTTCACTTCGTTCCATTTGTAAGTCCTGGCCTAGATTTGATTTTTCTAGTATCAGATGGAATATTCCTGTCTTTCCTTTCATGGCAAAACCTACTGCATCTCTAAACTCAATGAGTTACAGGGAAGGATCCTACACAAGAAAGAGAGAAGGGATGTTGGTTATGAGTTAATAATTTTGGAACATAGCAGACCAGTGTTAGTTTCCTGAAATCCTATGAAAGGCTAATTAACAAAAACTCAAATTTGTTTTGTCAAGCTATCAGTACAGCTGTATGTTTGTGTGTGTGCATGTGTTCGTGTATGCATGTATACAACGGCAGTTAATACAGCAGAAATAGTAGAAAAGGTCAGTTATTTACTTTTTAGTAACTAGTTTGATAATTAATGCAACTTCAATTAACAACAAAGTATTACTTAGGTAAAGGCAGCAATGCTAATATACTACTGCATTAATTTAGTAGTTTACTGTCTTCCTGTGCTGACAGGGTGTAGTATCCTGCACAAGGAGGTGTCAAACTGCAGGTTACACAAAATCATAACAGCCTTACATAAAAAGCAAATACTTCAATTGTTAGTTCAGTAAGATTCTTCCCCACCCACCCAAGAAAAAACAAAAAATGTTTAATCCTGAAATTTGATTTTGAATTTAAATTGCTCCTTGAAAGTCTCCAACTCAAATAGCTGCATCAGAAATACACTGTCAGCCTAGTAAGCTTGAAGAGAACATCAGAGACTGTTGCAGACACCCAAGGGAAACATAAGGATCTGATGGAGTAGAAGCACAGGATGTGAGATTGAACTGTGTTGCTCTTGGTGTTCTATACATGCTCAAGGGTGGAGGTGTGAGTAGAAAACTGCTGTGTTCTCTGTTGTAGGATGCTTACAGCAGGATGTAGGCTCTTGACTCCAGACCTGAGACACCAGGGAAAACTTGTTGAAAGCGATTAGGGTGTCTGATTGCTAAACTGAGCTCTTCAGAACTTTGATCATCTTAATCAGGAGGAAAGAGACAGCTGATTTCTGACACTGTTTTAATCTTACAGATTTCAACTACATCTCTGTCTGAAAGCGTGGAACACAAATATGTGAACTCCAAACACTGAAGATACAGCAAATACCATTATATGAATTAAGACACTAAATGCAATTTTTTTTGTGACTTTCTTGGGGCAGTTTAAATACTACAGGAAGACAAAAGAGTATTTGGTCCAATGGTCAGCTGCACAGATCATGCAGCCTGAGGTTGAGAGTTTTGCCGGTATACTTTCTCACTGCCCTCAAAATTGCTGAGCATGTACGAACAGGACATGGGGCTTGATTGTTCCTCTTGCTTGTATTAACCTCAACAAGAATGAGGCAGGGCTGTGTTTACAGAACCTTCAGCAGTGCATTTCAGTAGTCCAAAACCATATAGTGAAACTCTTGACTAAGCAGCCATATTAGAGGGAGAATGCATCAGTCCACTCAGTTGTACTGGCTGGCCACAGATTTCCATATCGAAAGCTCCAGATGGAATGAATAATTCCCTGGATGGCAAAAGCATAGGATAACATGATATTCTCATTAACTTCAGAGCTAACTAGTTGAACTACATACAATTACTTTTTCCTCTGCTAGGCCTATTAAGGGGACAGCTTCCTCATAAAGTATGTGAAAATGTTTAGAAATTCTACTGCTGAGTATTCAGCCTCCGTAACAAACAAGATTAAGTGCCATTAAACCATCAGCATGTGAATTGAGTGGCAGGATGTTGTGTCATGTGCTGTCTGCTGCTATGGAACTGCAATTAGGAAGCTCCTTTTTTATTTGCCTGTAGTAGGTGACAGTGGCAAATGACCTCCAGCTGCATGGGGGCAAAGCCATCTCTGTTGTGCTTGGCCACCTGAATTGCAACAAGATGTTTTGCTTAACTGTTTCTGCATCTTATTCCCTCTGCTATGCTAAAGCCTATAAATTTAATAGTCTAATCACGTAGTCATAGAATGGTTTGGGTTGGAAAGGACCTTCAGATCATCTAGTTCCAACCCCTTGCCATGGGTAGGGATGCCATATTACCCAAGGCTCCCTACAGCCTGGCCTTGAACACTGCCAGGGATGGAGCATTCACCACTTCTTTGGGCAACCCATTCCAGTGCCTCACCACCCTCACAGTAAAGAACTTCTTCTTTATATCTAACCTGAACTTCCCCTGTTTCACTTTAAACCCATTACCCCTTGCTGCAGTCCCTGATGAAGAGTCCTTCCTGAGCATCCTTGTAGGACCCTCTCAGGCACTGGAAGGCTGCTCTGAGGTCTCCATGCAGCTTCTCTTCTCCAGGCCAAACAGCTCCAACTTTCTCAACCTGTCTCTGTATATGAGGTCCTCCAGCCCGCTGATCATCCTTGTGACCTCTGGACTTGTTCCAACAGTTCCATGTCCTTTTTGTGTTGAGGACACCAGAGCTGCACACAGTGCTCTTAAGTGGGGTCTCGTGAGAGCAGAGTAGAGGGGCAGGATCACCTGCTTTGACCTGCTGGTCACACTCCTTTTGATGCAGCCCAGGATATGGTTGGTTTCTGGGCTGCAAGCACACACTGAAGCCGGCTCATCGCCGGCCCCCAGCACCCCCACGTCCTTCACTTGGCTGAGTGGAGGACTTGGCAGGCCTCCACAGGGCTGCTCTGAATTTCTTCTCTGTCCAGCCTGTAGCTGTGCCTCTGATTGCTCCAACCCAGGTGTAGGACCTTGCACTTGGCATGGTTAAACTTCATAAGGTTGGCATCAGCCCACCTCACAAGCATGTCAAGGTCCCTCTGGATGGCATTCTTTCCCTCCAGGGTATCAACAACCACACAGCTTGGTGTCATCGGCAAACTTGCTGAGGGTGCACTCAATCCCACTGTCCATATCCATATCCACACATTGTACGTATCCATAAGCACACTGGTAGAAATCGAATGAACTGAAACTGACAAAAACACAACCGAGTTTTCTTGGCGGTTTTTCACATTGGTAAAACAGACTGTCAGTTTCTGCCTTGGTAAGTCAGGCAAAATGTTTGGGCTCTTCAGTTGCCACAGAGTTTATGCTATGTGTGAATCTGTAGTGGTGATCATTCTACAGGATTGTGTTTTTTGATGCATCACAATCAGTTTGAAAACAGATGAGGTCATCTTGCTGATTGGAGGCCATGTAGACAAACCATCTGACAGTGAGTTCACAATGTTAGGATCTTTACAGCTCAGTAAAATCACATTTCTGTTAATAGTAAGTAATACATAGGTATCAACAGTGTGTTCAGTTAGATTAAGTTAGCAGTATCCTTTCTTTCAGACCCTATTGTTTATTCCTTTTTTTAAAACGGGGGTTATATGTGCGAAATATAAGGTGGACTATTTATTTATGGACCATTTATTTATGGATTCAGGTTCCCGTGATGGTTCGATGGGTCTTTGGGAAGTCACAGAGGATGTGTTATCCAAGAGTGATGCCAGACATCATCTCTCACAAGTTCCTGTGTATGCCCACATAACACACAGGGCTCTGAAGGATATCCCAAAGGAGAACACCAATCCAGACAACTGCAAAGTCCGAGCATTGGCTTTCAACAGTAAGAACAAGGTAAGATAAGCAAGTCAGTTGAGAAATCCTAAAACTGCCTGTATTTATTAGAAAAAGAAAAAAGTTACTAAAAAAAAATATCGGAGAAGCAACCTAATACCTTTTCCCCTGATCCTTTCGCATCTTTATCATGTCACCTTCATCTGCTATGTCTGTTCTGCCCCAGGTGAGTGGGGAAGTTCAGTAGGGGGAAAGAGAAATCATATTTTTTTCAGAAGGAACAATTTTCCTGTGGATATGATTTTGTTGCATCCTAAAAGGGAGAGACAGGGAGTGTTTAGAAGAAGCAGATAAAGCACCAAAACACCTCTTGCAGCTTGAATCCTGCTCTTGAGTGTTGTTACTGCTTTCCTTCCCCTTTTGTGAAGACCAGCTGACATTCAGACAGTTCCTGTTTTGGTGCCTGAATCCTTCCTGGTTTGCTCAGCGGATGAGGTGGCTGACACACAGGGCAGGTACAAGTGCCTGCTTCAGTGTTGCATTTGACAACAGTAAATATTAACCTCCCCCGTGCCGATCTCTTGTTATTACTAGTGGAGTAGCAGTTCATCCTCCACTTCTTTTCTTTCTGCCCTCAAAGAACAGCAAGTGTTTGAAGCAGAGGTGGATGTGCTGTCAGAAGTGCAGTGCTTCTGCAGGCTTTATTTTTCACTATAACTGTTAATTACTCCTGTGCAATGGAAACTTCATATAGCTTTCTCAGTAGAGTAGTACCTGGAAATAAATGTTTGCTTCAAGGTCAGAATCAGTGTAGGAGCTGCTGAAAAGAATTCTCCACTCTAGATTGTGCTGTCTAATAATTTGTTACATGATTGTCTGACAAGACATATACTTTTGAAAGTTATTTTTTGTTATTTATGTTGTTCTTTGTGGCACCTTTGTACTGTATTGCATTCTATCAAGGTAAGTATAAAGTGAAAATATATCTTGATAAGCATATACAGGTTTATGGACAAGTTCAATTGGAGTATTCAGCCTGCCTAGTGGAGAGTGTAAGTTTGTAAGAATATCTATAATTGAGAAACTAATTTTTTTTATTATTATTATAGGAGCTGGGAGCTGTGTCCCTGGATGGGTATTTTCATCTTTGGAAAGCAGAGCACACATTATCAAAGGTGCTTTTCTGTGTGTTGGTATTAAATTTAGAAAATTGCCTAGCAGTTAAGACTGTTCACTGTTCTTCAGTCTCCTTTAAATGCTTGAAGAAAGAGCAGCAGCACTGGTAAAACAGTGAAAAGCTTTATGTAAGATGAAATGTCCTAAAAATTAGAACTTGAGGAGGGAAACTCCCAGCCCTAATTATTTTGGAGGGTGGGAATTGCTCTTAACTTCCTGCCAGTTCTGGGTGATCTGAAGTGAACTTTTGCGTAGAGTATGGTGGATACTTGTTTGCAGAGTTCATAGAGAAAGTTGCACTGGCTTAAGGTGCACATCAAACCCAGACATACCTATGCAGGTGTACAAGGTAAGCCTTTTCATCTGAGAGCTGATGTCTCTGTATAGCAGCTGAAGAAATATCAGCAGCTTAGATGTAAAACAGTTTGCCAAAATGTCTGTTGTTCTTTGCATACTACTTGGCTTCAGCCTTTATCATTTCAGTTTGGTTCAGGTAAGGCATCGCATCGCCTTCATTTTTTTTATCTCTGGGTCAGGTTGTTGCTTTTTTTTTAAAGTTCTGTTTTTGTGGGGAACTTATTTTTCAGCTGCATTTTGTTTTTTTTTCACTTAAACTTCCTTGAACATAGCTTACAGAATTACTCTATTAACATCTTGCTCTTTTCTCATAATGGGTTGATTTTTTATTTCTTCTCTTCCCAGTTACTTTCCACAAAGTTGCCATACTGCAGGGAGAACGTATGTTTGGCTTATGGTCAGGAGTGGTCAGTGTATGCAGTAGGATCACAGGCACATGTCTCATTTCTGGATCCCAGGCAGCCTTCTCACAATGTTAAATCCGTGTGTTCCAAAGAAGGCAATGGTAAGAAACTTGTCAAAGGGTGCTTCAGATGGTTTGCTTGCAGAAGTAGCTATTAAGACAGCAATGAGATATGCTTTTAATAAGCAGGAAGAGGTTTTCATGCAGTAGACTAAATTATTAATAGTATATGTAGGTTTTGCTTTTGACAGTATTCCTTGAGCAACCAACAAACCAAATGTGAAAGCAACTCTGAAATCGAATGATAGAAAACATCAGTGCTTTTATGATCAATTGAATTGTACACCTCCAAACATTACAGAACTTTTAGAAGTGTTAATTTTTATTCTACTTGATTTTACTGTGTCGTATTCTGGTTTACTTCATCTCCAAAGCAAATCCAGTCTTTGTACCACTATCGATACTGTCTATTCTTGCATTTTGCTCTGGGCACGGGAGAAAAAAGCATGTTGTCTGCTCTGTGCTGTCATATGGGAGTCTGTGCTGGAGTGAATGCTTATTTTGTAATTTTAAAGCCGTGACTGAGACTCTTAAAAGCTTGCAGATTTGAGTGTTGTTTTTCCCTTTCTGATGTGGATGCAGTATGTCCAGTTAAACCTTAGACTAGGGCCAAGCACAGGGCCTCGCAGGGTGCGTAGTATCATAAGCTTCTTCCCACACCCTTTATCTTCAAGCATGAGAGGGCACTGTGCTGTGATGCCCATTTTAAACTACATTAATCCCAGACTGATATATTGCAGTTCTTACGCAGCTTGGCTCTAGGTATCCGTATCTTGGTCAGGCACGTTATCAAAAGAAAATGCATGTAGCAAAGATTAGTGAAGTTTTGTTTATGTGGTTACTGGAGTTTGAATAGTGTTGTCTAGATAAGCACCAGCATCTGCTTCTTTCAGATATGGGAGAAGTATATATAATATGAGGAGAGGTGCTTCACCAGCTTGTGTTTTCACCTGGACATTTTAGCAGCAAGAGCCCTTGTCCTGACCTGCTGTTTGTGAGGGCTCTGTGAAGGTCCTGATGCTGTCACCCTTCAGAGTCATCAGGAAGAAATAGCGAGACACTGGAGAGTGGTGCCCAGTGTTGGCTGGTGGCTGAAAGCTGCTGCCTTGAGTGTGTAATCATCCCTGCTGGGGGCATGATCATGGTAGTGTTGCTGGGGCATCTCCAGTTCATGTTTGGAGGAAGCCTTTGCTCAACACTCTTTCCTGTTCTGCATAGTAGGCAGATCTTTTGGTTTTTTTTTTTGTCATAGTGGTGGAGGCACTTAAGTAATATTAACACCCAAGATACGAAGTGTTTCAACTTTGTTGATCTCACTGGGACTTGGATCAGTGCAGTACCTCTAGAAAATAGGCTCTTTATTGATTGCAGACTAAAATCTGATGCTTTGAAGCATTCCCTGAATGCACTTTCAGCTTCCGAATGCACCTGCTGAACGTGGTAAACCCACATTAACTTCAGATTGCCAGTGTTGTACTCAAAAGCAGGTCACAGAAGGGTTGTTGCTTAGTGAGACTGGAACTGGGGTTAGTTTATATACAGTGTAAGCAGTTACATTGTATGTACAGTGTACAGGTACACTACCTCTTACTGCATGAGAAGGCTTTTCTTGGCAGCTGTACAGAGAAGTGCAGGCCCTGGACTCCGGTTCTTGATCTCTGAGAGCAGCTGCTTTTACCTCCACTGGGATGCATCGCAATGTCACGTGCCCTTGACTTTATATCCTAAAGGCAGCAATGTTAATGCAGGGGGCAGAGCTTGTGTGACACAGGCTGTGTGTCTGCTCCTTATTTAGGACACATTACTGTGTCTTCATTTCCTTCAAGGATGTGTAGAGCCTCCCTGCCTCTCAGGAGTAGCAAGACTCAGTTTGCTGACCCAGATAGTCCCAGTCCACAGGTGGTAGAATGCTGACTGTATTGGAGAGCATACCATGATCAGTGCTAGGCACAGGTTGTGCTTTTAGTTTGATGGAAATGATTATTCTGAGGTACTTCAGCCCTTCAGGAGCCAGTTGGAAGTGCTGCACTTGAAAGCCTGTTGTAAACATCCTCTTAGTAGCAGGTACATGATGGATTCCTTCAGTTAATTCTTTTGATTATAGAAAGAGCCACACTTGTTCTGCATTTTATAGCCTTTTTTTTATTATTAATAAACTGCATTGAAAAGTATACGCCACCTGCCTTCCTACGCCATCATCTGTTTCTGTTAAATGAGTGTTCTGCTGGGTTGCTTGTCAAGAGCACTTCTGAAGCAAAAATAAGAAAAGCTCCCCTCTTGTGCCTTCCTCTGCTTATCCAAGTGACTGCTCTTGCTGACTGCAGAGGGCTTAAAGTTTTCTGCGTGTATTTGCCAGAGCCAGGCCCTTGCAATGGGAGTGAGGGGAGTTGTCTCAACTTCCTCAGGTCCATTTGTAGTTTTCTGAATTAAAGTGTAGATCCTCATGAGAATCTGGTAAATCTGGTTCAGCAGGTGTGAGACTGCTCAGTGGTTTCCCACGTATTTAGCTTGCAGCCAAAACTTCACCTCACATCTGGAGCTTGACAATGTGGTCATTCCCGTTCTAAGTGTGTGTCACAGATGCTGCTGGCTGTGGATGTGACATCAGGTTATGGAGGCGGAAGAATGAGGGTGTGCTTCTAGTTAGGACTCTGTACGGAGGGAAAGGGGAAACTCCCTGGCTGCCTCTACACCTCTTGGGTGTCTGCTGTCATGTGTACTGCTGGGTATATTCCAGTATGTTCTAAGTTTTGTGCTGTTCAGTCCCACTTGGTGACAGCAGCTGGCACATGGATGTAGGTGGCATTAACTCATTCTTTTTCCCTCCTGTTTGAATGCTTGTTTAGGCTGTAGTTCAGTGGTACTTTAAAGAAGGCTTAAAAAGCCCCAGGGTTTATAACCTGGCAACACCTTGTGCAGTAAGAAAAAACATAGATGTGGTGGGGTTTAATCTGTGTAAAAGAGTTGTTTGAGATAAAGTGCTTACACAGAACAAGCCTTTTACACAATTAATAGAGGTAAGATGACAGGAAATCTTGCAAATTGCAAATCTGTACACACAGTGTATCCCCAGACTGTTTACAAGGGATCCTTGTTTAGCTGAGACACCAGATTTAGATATTATGAAAACAAAATCTACTCTTTTTCTCCATCTAATGGCATAACTCAGATGTGGCAGAAAGTATCGTCTGTATTAGGAATTTGCTGTAGCTTCCCAAGGACTGGCGGAACCTGGTGTTGCTTAGATTGCAGGATTCCTAGTCGTTTCATTTCTGGGTGAAGTACTAAAAGTGCCAGCCACAAAGAATAGTGTATCCTTGTGTCTGAATATTTGGGTAGAGATAGCTTCAAAATTATTTAAAAGCCTGATGTACCTTAGAGGCAAAGTGACTAGTGATTATTAGGGTTGCACTTGCTTATAGCTAGCCTGCTGATTAGCAAAATGCACTTGGCAGCAACTGGGACAGTAATTTTTTTCTCCCATGGTTGCTTGACATAGCCTGACAGCTAGGTAGATACAGTGTGAGCTCATGGAGAAAACCAGTGTGACGTTCTTTCCTCTGCTGCCACATACTTGCTCATGGTGTGCTCACAAGCTCATGGCATATAGAACAAAGCTACTCTTAATTCTAAATGGCTTATGATCTTTGCTTGTCTGGCAGAGCTGTGGCCTGCTGTGAAATGGAGCTTCTTAATTGTACGCTATCAGTGTAACTGATGGCCTCAGAGGAGAAGGGAAGTAGTACAGGCAATTGAAACTGCTGTTTCAGTGGCATCAGTGGGCTTAGTCTGCACTGCTCCATAGCAGTGGGGAAACTTGTGTGTTATAGAGCATACTGCTAGGTAGTTCCTCTTAAAGAAAATATTAGACATCAAGCAGCAGCACTGCAGAGCCAAAGCACCCATCTTCCTTACTGCATTGTATGTCCCTTCTCTATTTGACAGGTATTCGATCGGTGAGCTTCTACGAGCACATCATCACAGTGGGAACAGGGCAAGGTTCCCTGTTGTTCTATGATATCAGAGCCCAGAGGTTCCTGGATGAAAAGCCTGCACATGGCTGCTATGGGCAGAAGCAGAAATTAGGAGGAGGTGAAATTCTGAAGTTGACTACTGGGAAAGGCTGGCTGGTGAGTAGATTGAGGATGTAGGATGCTCTTTAGACAGGAGTGAGAGTTCATGCCTTAGTGCTCAAAAGCTGGTTCTTTTTGTAGTAATGGGAGCTATCATATGAAATGCATCCCAGCTACAGTGATCATGTACCTGATAACTGTAATCATGAAAAGCAAGAAGTGCTGCAGAATCACTTTGTAAAAAAGCCTTCTGAAAGTATTGAAGGTTGGTTGCTTGCGTGTAAGGCATACTGACTACTGTTCTTATGCAGTGATTTATAAATCAACTATTTTATATCAAGGTACTTCTGAATGCAATATTTCAGTTTTCACAACCTCAAACACAAAATACACTGTCTTCCTTTAAAACTGTGCTAATGTGGTACTTCGAAATGTTTAATTTGTGTGCAGTTTTAAAACTGGCTTCCTGAGGTAATGCCATGTCAGGCACTTGAGTTCAATTTCCTGTATGTTATCATAAAGCAGTTAATGGTTTTGTTTAACTTCTCTCCATTATCTTTTGTATCATTGTGATGTCACTTTAAAAACTAATGAAACATGGTATCTTTCCTGCCTTTCACCTTCCTAGCTCCTATGTCGGGCCCAAACATCCTTAGAAAAAGTTTCAGGACAACGCTGGTATCTTCATATTGATCTGTCTGAAACTTCAGGGAGTATTAACAGCAAAGATCCCTTTTTAGGCTCTGGGAGCCACCTTCTGCTTTTTGTGAAACAAGTTTTCGGGTTTTTTTGGTGATTTTTTTTGTTGGTTTTTTTTTTTTTAAAATAACACTCTGAACTTTCCTTTAACAGAATCATGATGAAACCTGGAGGAATTATTTTTCTGGCATAAATTTCTTCCCAAATGCTGTTTACACCCACTGCTACGACTCGTCTGGAACAAAACTCTTTGTGGCAGGAGGCCCCCTTCCATCAGGACTTCATGGGAATTATGCTGGTCTCTGGAGCTAATGATAACTCTTTATAAATGCTGATCTTTACACAGATTTCCTCTTTTCCCTTTTTTAACAACAAAAATGTGTGATGCCATTGATTTCTGATTTAAATGCAAGTTCATTTTTTGGCAGAGTTTTCTGTTGGTCTCCAACAGTTTTGTACATGTTTTTGAACCAGTTTTTTCTTTTAACCTCCTTGATCCTTTATATGAAGAGTTTTTGAAAACCCTTTTTCTTGTATTTACTCCAAATAACTCTTCCCCCACATTTAGGCTATCTTGCCCATGTGCCCTCTCCCCTACTTTGCTGTGAGGTAGGATTCCTTTCTTATAGAGTGGTTGCTCTTGGGCTTTCTGTGAAAGTCTAAGGGCTGCATGTGTGCAGGTACTTTGCATCAGTTACATTACCTGGAGTGAGGACTACTTGTAATAAAAAAAAATATTAAAAATATTTATAAGAGATAAGCTGCTATATCTGCAGAGCCTGGCCCTGGACTGGGTTGATCTTATTTTTTAGAAGTACAAGTCTAATGACGCTGTTTATACATAGAGGAATATGATAAATTTAAGCTGAACTCAATTGGAGCCCAGGGACTAATTCCACAGGGTTACTGCCCGTCAAGCCCAAACTGCAAAAATGAAGAAGTTGCAAAACATGCATTTGTATTTGAGTTGTAGTTCCAGGAGTGCCAGGAGCAAAAATTGATCTTCTGTTCCTTCTCTGCCTCTCCCAGGTATCAGCTTGTGCATCTTGGGTTTGTGTAGTCTGTTCTGCAGGGTGATGTTACATTGAAGGCCTACAGAGGTGCTAAGAGGAAGTTAGGGCTAGGGAGTGTTCTTGTCATTCAAAATTAACTAAATCTATCCATTTTCTGGATGAGCCAAGGTTCCTGAGTATGCTGCTGCAGTAGCTCACAGGTTTTTCATAAATTGGTTAAAAAACAGGATTATTTTTATTTTGTCCCAAGCTGTGGAAACTTTTCCCATTTTAGCTGTTCTGGATGGCCATCTCGTCTGATAAGCCAGTGGAATATTATGAGGTTTTTTTATAAAGTTAGAGTACCTCTTGGACTTCACTAACACAAGCTAGAAGTTCTCCACGGAGCAAGGTAACTCACACTGCACTAGCATCTGCTGTGATCCTATTAGCTATAGGAGAAGCTCAGTCTTTCCCCAAATCCCCAGCTGCCTTCTGCGTTCAGACTCTGGAGCTTAGTGTAGGACCAGGTGGAGAAAATAGTTCTGATGTCCTTCAGGTCCAGATGTGAAGCATGTGCGTTACAGAGTGATGGTCTCACCTAATACTCAGCTAAAATGCAGGACAAGGGTGTTCCTTCTAGTTTGTTTTTCCACCAAACTCTCAGTGTGTTACTGAGTCTCTGTTCTCTGCTGGGATGAAGGCCTTTCCACTGCCCCTGTCACCAGCAGAGCAGAATGTGCCTGTGCTGCCCTGCTTTTGTGCCAAATGGGCAGTTGGTTGAAGCTGAGAGAACAGACAAGGCTGGGACAATGCTCTGTTCCCCTGTCTTTGCAGGACATCACAGCCACCACTGCAGAGCCGCTCTAGTCCCTTGTGCAGTTCCTGCCACACTGCCTGGAGTTAGCCTGCATGTGTAACTTCCCATCCCTCTTGTCTTTGTACTCAGTATCATCAGTAACCCAAGCAGTGAGCCTCAGGCTTCATTTCCAGTTGGTAGTGGAGACTTGTGTGAAAATCCTGCAAGGAATGCAATGCACTCCCATCTGGGTGGAAATCCTGGCAAGAAAAGAGCTCTCCATGATGTGCATCTGCCCCAGAAGTATCATTTACTTCATACTGACACGAGTGCTTCACGAACGGATCTCCCTGCTGTGTTTCATAATTCTACTTACCTTGTGGGTTGTCTGCTTAAACAATCAGTTTGTGGTGCTCTGTGTGTGTGGCTCTTCAGGTTTTTCTCTGAAAAGGGGCAAATTATATACCACAGGGTAACTTAAGGACCTCTCAAATTTGATAGTTTTTTAAAGATGTTGACATGCTATGTTGTTCTGTGATGGCGATATACTGCTTTGGTTATTTTAAGAGGTTTTGATAAGTGGAAGTATACAGGGAAAACTAAATCTTGGTGATGTATGGCAGGATGTGTATTTCTAGGATTACTCCTCCAGCTACTGTGTAAAATCAATACGTCGCAGGGAACATGGTCTGCTTTTTGTTTGATGGAGAGCTTGGTTTTGGGTGCTGCTTTTTATAATGGGAACTACACACTTGAATCTGCTTGTGTCTTCCAGTTCTTCTGAGACAACAGTTACTAGCTGGGTGCTTAGTGTCACTAGTACTGTTTCTGCACTGATCTGGAAGTCCTAGCCCTGATGTCAGTCTATTAATTGAAGCATATTTCACGTCTGGGTGAGAGGGCAAAAAGGGCATTTCTATGGACTGAGGCTTCCAGCCTCCAAATACATAGACTAATCTTCCTGCAGAGACAATAGAGTCTCTAGTTAGGGAAGAGGCACTCTTGGGAAGTGTCCCTCTGTGCTGACTCTTATCTCCCCTAGTACCCCAGTGTGTGGTCCTAAAGCCTGGTAGTGTGAGTGCCCTTTTTTTGTTTTTGGTTTTGGGTGTTGGTTTGTTTTTTGGGTTTTTTTTTTGGGAAACATTGGCCAAGTCTCCGAAGAATCTGGACAATGATGTAGAATTTCTCAAGTCTGACATGCTCTGTGTTTTGCTTTCAGGGTGCTTTCTTGCAAAAGTAATTTCTCATGGGGAGGGAGCAATCCCTGCTGCTGTATGAAAATCCCCTCCCCCCCAAAAACTGGAAACAAACTAGACAGTGCTGCAAAGATCCAAACAAATTGGGCCAGGGACTCTTAATTTCTAGCCAGTTTCAGTGGGTTTCAATGCTTGTAGCAATACAGTTGTTAAGTTTCAGAATATTTTGTGGCTGGTTATATATCACTCTTAGTCCAGTCAGTGTTAGAAACCAAGGCAGAGAAAGGCACCAATATGCCAACACTGGCCAAAGATAAGGAGGAAAAGCCAGGTTTTCTTCCTTGGTGTGACTGGTTGTTTTTTGTTGCACTGTTGGGTTAGATATCAGACTTGAAATCCAGTATCATAGTGAGGAACTATGCAGGGGTTTCCTATCAAAGTGGAGGAGAACAGCAGGGACTCTCTGGGCTCCCATAGAGGTGAGCGGTGCACCTCACTGTTCAGATGGAAGATACAGCCCTGCAGTGGATGGAGTTCAGTCTGATGACTGTGCTTCAGTAGCTTCTTAAAACAGCTCACCGTGCTCTCCTCAGACCCAGTGGCATTTTCAGACTGTCTTACCTTTTCAAATGTTGCTTCGTGATTTCTTTTTTGCTCTTTCATGCCTTCCTGAATGGTCTGTTTGGGGTCAGCTCTGCCGCCCCAAATAATCCCAGTCTTCAGTGTAGCAATATTGTGCTCACAGAGGTGACCTCAGTCAAGCAGAAATGGGCTTGCTGGCATTTTACTAAGCCATGCCCAAGAGCTTCAGTTTGTTTTAAACTTGGTGTAAGGCTAGCTCAGATAGTAGAACTGGGCAGTTCTCTTGTACATGTTTGACTGATGGGATTAGACACTAATGGTCTGTTCCTGGGGTTTATCTCTGGTTTATCTCATGTTAGGCACTTGGAGAAAAGAACTTTTAATCATACCAGACCTTCAAACTTTTCTTCCTGCTGTTCACTTCTCAGTCATGTTGGATCTTTTGTGCTGCTGGTGAGTGTAGGAAGCAGTTAATTTTACAGCTCAGCTCTTTTCAGTAGCTACCATGTTAATTTGGGTATTTGGGGGTATTACATACCCAGTATTCATAATCACAGGTAGCTAAACTAGTGAGTGAATTATGGGTTGGGTAATACCCAGCTTGTAAGTACTAAGTAGCAACCCCACAGTACTACTGGGTGTTACATGATGGACATTCGCAAGGAAGCAGAAGCTACTTTCAGTTGTTGGCTTGAGCATAGCACTGAGGGTGGTACTCACCCTTTTCACCAGACACCTTATTCCTGATAATTCCTCTAGTTTTCTCCCTTGCACAGTCAAATCATTCAGGGAGAATTGATAGTGGTCTTTTCAGGTGGTTTTGGGGATTACAGTAAAGAATTGAGCCCATTTGTTTGATTCTGTTGTCAGTGCTGCTAGTGTTAGTCCAAGATGAGTAAATTACCAAAGAATAGTTAATAGGTGTTTGTAGTCTCAGTTGTTCATTTTCCATGTAGCTCCATTTTTAAGATTCATCACAAGAGTGACCAGTGATCTTACTGTGCTTAGTCTGTCCACAAAGATTACATTCATGTTGTGAGTGACTCTCGTGATTCCCTTCCCTCTTGTGACCCCCACCCTGGGGAGGGCGGGGTGGGGGGGACACTGTTGAATTTCATTGTGGGGATATATTTGCTGCCTACATTTCAAATCTTTGGCAGATTTTTGTGTCTTAAAGATTAAGATACTGAACCAGATATTAATACGGATTTTCTCCCTTTACCTGAGCACTTGCTTTGTATATAGTTTGCATTGGCAGAGTTAACAGACTAAAGTTATGATCCATCTATGTTGAGTGGTGGTTTCTGTCTTAATTTCTGCCCCTCGACTGAAGGGCACTTACTGAGCTTGTGAACTGATGTCCCTTGCCTGATGCAGATGTGAAATAAAGCAGGCTTGCCTAGACCCTTCGTGGAGGTCACCTCTTTTGTTTGCTTGCAAGAAGCAGTAACAAATGGGCTGCTGATTGTTGCAGCCAGGTGGGAGCTCTGAGGTCTGTTGGTGGTGGTCTCATGCCTTTATTTTCAATACCACTTTTCCAAGGTGTCCAAGTCTCTTAATTAGCTTCTGTCACTATTGCTGCTATGGCTGAATTGCTGAAGTAGGGTACAGCTCATTCTGAAGAGCACTGTTGCGGAGCTGTGTGTGATGCAGGCAGAGCTAATGCTCTGGCCAGCCCATGCTGACCCCTGGACTCCACTCCTAGCCAGGAACACAGTTCTTTAGCTTAGAGCCAAGTGGAAATCCCCCTTTGTGCTGCTGGCCACCCACTGCTGGAT